TAAAAAAAATAAAATTATAAAAAAAAACAATTCCCATGATATAGAACCAACCATATCCATGGATAAAGAAGATGTGGTATATATGTACAATGGAATATTACACAGCCATAAAAAAGAATGAGATCTTGCCATTTGCAACAACATGGATGGACCCTAGAGGATACTATGCTAAGTGAAATAAGTCAGAAAAAGACAAATACCATATGATTTCATTTAAAACAAAACAAACAAACAGAAAACAGAAACAGACTCAAATAAAGAGAATAAACTGATGGTTGCCAGAGGGAAGGGGTGTGGGGAGTGGGCAAAGTGGGTGACAGGGAGTGTGAGATATAGGCTTCTAGTTATGAAATAAATAAGTCATGGGAATAAAAGGTACAGCATAGGGAATATGGTCAGTGATATTGTAATAGCACGGTATGGTGACAGATGGTAGCTACACTTGGGGTGAGCACAGCATATTATAGAGAAGTTGAATCACTATGTTGTACACCTGAAACTAATGTAACGTTGTGTGCCGACTATACTCATATTAAAAAATTAAAAATAATTACTTAAAAAAGAAAAGCACACAGTGGAAAAGCATAGTGTTTAAAGGTTGAGTCAAAAAATAACTAACATAAGGGGCGCCTGGGTGGCTCAGTCGGTTAAGCGTCTGCCTTCAGCTCAGGTCATGATCCCAGGGTCCTGGGATGGAGCCCTGCATCCACTCCCTGCTCAGCGGGGAGCCTGCTTCTCCCTCTCCCTCTGCCTGCTGCTCCCCCTGCTTTTGCTCTCTCTCTGTCAAATAAATAAATAAAATCTTTAAAAAAATTTTTAAAAATAACTAACATGAATGAACCCTATAAACTTTTCAGCAGCCCTATCCAGCTATCAAAAGCCCAGTTTGGTAAGGTAACTCAAGTTAAACTTCTATTCCTGACAAAATACTGCATTATTCTGGCATTATATATAGTTCCTACTTAACTACCTTAGCAAAACAAATAAAAAGGACTAGAAAGGAAAAGAATATCATAAATTTCTTCTAGATCTGGTACTGATTCTCCTAGGCCTACTCTGATATTTATAGGAGCTAAACTTATCAACCCCTGCTCATAACAAGAAAATACTAACAAAGAATAAGATTTTTTAATGTCTATGGTATTAGACATTAACTATGTATCACATTATAGACTATTCTTTGAAATCCACAACAAATAAGCCAATAGAATAGGCCAGGACCTAACAAGACCTACTACCCTAATGATCTTAACCATGTCAAATGGTTAACCAATGCCAACAGCAATATTTCCCTATATAAACCTGTGTCTTTTTCTTCATTATCATTATCAAAATCACAGCTCCACCAAACATACCTTGTAACAAGTCTTTAATCTGCCAAGAGGGCCCATAAGGCCTAATGATAGCTGTACAAGAAACCAAATAAAAAGACCCAAGCCCTTACCTTATTTAGCTGCTAATTCAGGAGTTGTAGACAAAGTCCTTAATCTGTTTATCTTACTCTTCCTAGATAAAAAGGAGCAAGAAGATCTCTACAGCCCCATCTAAACCATTAATGAAAACACTGCTGCTTTGCCCTGCACTTTCCAAAATGATCTCTCCAAGATAATAAGGGAGAGATCTGTCCCTCTGCCTCCAAAAAAGGCACCAGAGATCACGTAAGTTTCAGAATACTGTCTCAATCAAAATTGGTTAGGTTTCCTTCCTTCAGGACTTTCCAGAGCCTTTAATACAATACACAAATATGTCAAAATTCTTTACCATTTAGCTAAAATCTGGAAAAAGGCACAGTAGATGGGAAAATGTACTGGGAAAAGTTGAGAAACACACCATTTTGAAAAATCTGGCTACGTAAGGGCCAAAGAGGCAGCATAATATAGATAAAGAGAATGGGTGTACCAGCTTTGTAATTTGGGACAAATTACTTCACCTTGTGCCCCAGTGTACTCAATCTGTAAAATGGGGGAAATAGTACCAACTTCCTAAGATGGCTGAGGATTAAATGAGATGACTTATAAAACCCTCTGAACCAAGCCTGACACAGAGTAAATAATAAATGTTAGCTATTATTTTTGTCACCTACTTTGCAACGTTATTCTAAGCATTGAAATCCATATAATTCACACAACTCATGCCTGGCAAGTAATAAGCACTCAACAAAAGGTCATTTAATTGAACACATATAAAATTCTGATCACAGTGCCTAGCACAAACTAAATCTGGATTCACAGGCACAGTACTATACTGAATGCACTATGATTATGTTACTAAGATTATAGGATCTTTTTATTTAAAGATTTTTTTATTTATTTGAGAGAGAAAGAGAGGGCGAGAGAGCACAAGCAGGGGGAGTGGCAGGCAGAGGGAGAGGGAGAAGCAGGCTTCCCGCTGAGCAGGGAGCCCGAGTGGGGCTGATCCCAGGATCCTGGGATCATGACCTGAGCCGAAGGCAGACGCTTAACCTACTGAGCCACCCAAGTGCCCCAAGATTATAGGATCTTAACCATTAATAAAAACAGTACTGCTTTGCCTATAACAGTGTTTCCCCAGGAGACTATGTCTCCCTAGTATGATAACAATGAAGATATCTGACCCTTGCCCACTACCAAAAATAAGTTTCAGAACTATTGTATTAATCAAAATTAGGCAAAATTAAGTTTCTTTTCTTCAGAACCCAGGGCCTTTAGTATGAATCTTGAATCTCTCAGTAGGGAATATACAGTTCCCAAACGCATTGAATGAGGAAACTTCCTTTCACTGAACAACAGTTCTTGGGACTATTGCTCTGTGGAACACAGAATGGAAACTGCCCTAAATCAATGGAAAAACAGAAATAGCGTGTACTTTATATTGTACTTTACATTGTACAGCATGTACATTGCAAACCATTGTGCCTAGAACAATGTCTGCTACATCACATAGAGTTTTAACAAACTTTTGTTGTACAAATGTAAAGGGGCCAAGATTTTGTAACGTTCCCAGACATGTTTGATTGTGGAATTTTTTTTTTCTTTTTGGTTTTTTTTTTGAGCAGCATCTGTGGGACTACTGTGGCAAGAAACACACTTAGAAAAATGCTTCCTGGGGCAGCTGGGTGGCTCAGTCGGTTAAGCACCAACTCTTGATTTCTGCTGGGGTCATGGTCAGGGTCCTGGGACCCAGCCAGGCATCAGG